TTCTTAGACGAAGAATTTGCGAAGCGTCATAAAATCCCTTTACTACAAAAATCCAAACATGTTCACGTTGAGGTCATAGATGGACGACCTTTATTGTCTGGTAGTATCACCCATGAATCAGAACCTATAGAAGTGACGATTAAGGACCATAGTAGTCATATTATTTTTAATATTATTAGAACCCCATCAAATCCTGTTCTTCTTGGTCTTTCCTAGTTGGAAAAGCATAACCCATCCATAGATTGGAGGTTGCAGAAGATGACCTTTCCCACAAAACCACCCAAGAGTAAGCCTAGTAGAAAACCCCGAATAGAGAAATCTTTATTCATTGGAGCAAGAGCATTTATAAGATCGTCCAAGGAAGGCACACCGTTTGTCATTTATGTGGCTCCAACTACCGGGGAGAAGATCTCGATAACAAGTATACCTGAGCAATATAAGGATTTTAAAGACGTGTTTTAAAAGAAGAATGCTCACATGCTACCAGAACACCGACCATATGATTGCGCCATAGACTTACAGGAAGGAGCACAATCGCCTTTTGGCCCAATCTACAATCTATCGCAGATGGAGTTGGCAGAGTTGCGGAAGTTTATCGATGAGAATCTAGCCAAGAACTTCATCCATCATTCAAAATCGTCAGTTGGAGCACCCATCTTATTTGTGAAGAAGAAAGATGGCTCGTTGCGGATGTGCGTGGACTATCGAGGCCTCAACAAGGTAACAAAGAAGAATCATTATTGGTTACCCTTGATTTTTGGTCTCTTAGAACAACTTGGACGTGCAAGGATCTTTACGAAAATTGATCTAAGGAGAGCTTACAACCTCGTACAAATCAAGGAAGGAGATGAGTGGAAGACAGCGTTCCGTACAAGGTATGGCCATTTTGAGTATAATGTCATGCCCTTTGGTCTTACCAATGCTCCAGCGGTCTTTCAACATATGATGAATGACATTTTCCGAGAGCACCTTAACGATTTTGTTTTCATCTACTTTGATGATATTTTGATATTCTCCAAAAACGAGGAAGAGCATGGAAAGCATGTTCGTTTGGTCTTAGAGAAACTATGCGAGCGAGGACTACATGCCAAGTTGGAGAAGTGTTTATTTTACCAAATAGAGATTGAGTTTCTGGGGTTCGTTGCGACTACGGAAGGCTTGAAGATGGACCTCAAGAAAGTAGAAGCAATCGTGTCCTAGGAGGTTCCGAAGACGGTTAGAGATGTACAATGCTTTCTTGGTTTTGTCAACTTCTATCGAAACTTCATCAAGAATTACTCTCAAGTTGCTGCTCCTCTCACTCGGTTGATATGCAAGGATAAGCTGGAATGGGGACCTCTAGCGGACAAGGCGTTTCAAGACCTGAAGACCGCATTTACTACGGCTCCAATCTTGGTACATCCAGACTTTACAAAGGCCTTTTATTTGGAAACTGATTCTTCGGATTTTGCTTTGGGAGCTGTACTTTTACAAATGGGAGAAGACAAGAAGCTCCATCCAGTTGCATTCTATTCTCGAAAGTTCTCTGCTGCTGAAATAAATTATGAGATCCACGATGAGGAACTTCTTGCTATAGTGGATTCTTTCCAAGAATGGCATCATTTTCTTAAAGGAGCTGCACATCCAGTGACCGTATACACAGATCACAAGAATTTGGAATATTTCATGTCGGCTCGAGTTCTAAATCGACGTCAAGCTCGGTGGGGTATGTTGCTATCTAGGTTCGATTTTGTTATCACTTATCGACGTGGAAAGCAGCAAGGACTATCTGATGCCTTATCGAGGAGATCGTATCTTGTACCAAAGGCTAGAGAAGCAGCATTTGATCAACAATGTACGACATTGTTGAAGCCAGAGTAATTTCAGCTTTGCGCTACTATTATGCCAATTGATGCTGACTTCTTGAATCAGGTACGTGCCGTAACCATTGAAGATTCAGTAGCCATTGATATTAAGCAGCGTGCCAATGACGACAAGTTCAAGGTGGAGAGAGATCTTTTATACTTTGAAGAGCGGTTATATATCCCAAAAGGACCAGCACGACTCCGAGTTCTTCAATCTCGCCACGATTTTCCAGCTGCGGGACATTTTGGATTCAACAAGACCTTGGAGCTTATTTCTCAAGATTTTTGGTGGCCCCAAATGTGGAAGGATGTGAAAGATTTTGTCCTCTCTTGCGACATCTGTTCAAGATCCAAGAATCCTCGGCATTGCCCTTATGGACTCCTACAGCCATTGTCGATTCCACGTCGACCATGGTCTTCAATTTCCATGGACTTCATCACGGACCTGCCATCATCGAACTCATTTGACAGCATCTTTGTCGTGGTAGATCGGCTTACAAAGATGGCATACTTTGTCCCTTGCAAGAAGACATCGTCCAGTGAAGTCACACCAAGGCTCTTTCTCGATAATGTGTATTGATATCATAGACTACTAGATGATATCGTATCAGATCGAGGAACCCAGTTCATATCAAAGTTTTGGAGATCTCTCTTTGAGATACTGAAGGTGGATATCAAGCTTTCTTCAGCTTTTCATCCTCAAACTGACGGCCAAACAGAACGGGTGAACTAAGTCTTGGAACAATACTTACGATGTAACATCAACTATCAGCAAGACAATTGGACCTTATATCTGTCGCTAGCCGAGTTTACATATAACAACACCCTCCATGCGTCGACTCAATACACACCATTCTTTTCCAACTATGGGTATCATCCGAAGCTTGATTTATTGAATCCGTCAACAAATAACAATCCAGCAGCTGAAGGATTTGCGAAACAACTATCAGAGCTTCAAAATACGTTGAAGCTTCAATTACAATCTGCTCAAGAATCCTACAAGGCGTCTGTAGATAGATTTCGGAATCAAGCACCTACTTTCAAAATTGGAGATAAAGCATGGCTTCTTCGACAGAATATCAAAACCAAGCGACCATGTGATAAGTTGGACTATCGAAGATTGGGACCATTTATCATCCAGAAGCAAATCAATCCAGTGGCGTACCGTCTAGAATTACCGGCTTCTTTGAAGGTACATCCAGTCTTTCATGTTTCTCTGTTGGAGCCTTATCGAGAGTCGTCTTTTCCTGGAAGAGTGCAATGTCCACCACCTAGTATTGAGATCGAGAACCACGAAGAATACGAGGTTGAAAAGGTGCTGGATTTACGGCGAAGGTGGGGCAAGTTGGAGTATCTTGTTCATTGGTGCGGCTACGACATTGATGAGCGAACATGGGAGCCAGCTGAAAATCTTGCCAATACGCCGCAAAAGGTACGGGAGTTTCATCAACAACATCTTCATAAACCTAAGCCGGTTCGACGATAGCTTCTTTCTAAAGTTTGCTCATCCAAGAATATAAGAAAGGGGGAGAGCACCACCAAAATTCGCAATTAATGTAGTTATTTTCTCCAAGATAAAGTAGAATTTTTTCAGTAGCCATAGTTTGGTCTTCTGATATGGATAGCCAAGAGATAGATACTATGCCAGTCAAATTATCTCAACCGACTAACTCACGAAGGCGACCCCGAGATGAAGAACCGCCTTCACCATGATGACGACGGAGGATATCGAGTAACTGATCACTGGTGATTGTATTCGAGTTCGAGCCTGCTTACGATGGTCAGCCAAAAGGCGTATTTGGAGGACAATTTCACAATGATGACACGGAAGTTCATACTTGGTCAGAAGTTGAAGGAGTGGGCTACTACCGTTGGCTTCAAGGGCCGATGAACGACTTGCCTCGTGAACAGCAGTTGGAGTTCATAGTAGACGTTATGCGACAGATCTTCATTTTCTTGCGTTGGTACTGATTAATAACAACATTGCTTCTCAGAGACCTCGAAGCTAAAGGAGGGGGTGATGTTAGGGACATAGTCCTTAGAACCTTCTAGAGACAAGTTTCTAGAACCTTCTAGAAGCAAGTCTCTAGAACCTTCTAGAAGCTTCTTAGTGGTAGAAGATGTTAGGGACATAGTCCTTAGAACCTTCTAGAGATAAGTTTCTAGAACCTTCTAAAAGCAAGTCTCTAGAACCTTCTAGAAGCTTCCTAGTTGGTAGAAGTTGCTTGAGAAGCTTCCTAAATAGGAGTATATATTGGAATCGAGGCTGAAGAGTTCTTTAGTCTCGACAACACATCTCTTGGAGCTCTAGTTCACCTCTCTAGTGTTGTTCTTGTATTCATCTGATTAATCTAGTTCTTGTTAGTTCTTCTTGAACTTCTTGTTAGATCTCGAGCCTGTATTTCTGTGTCCGTGACAATATCCTACCTCTAATATATATATATATATACCTTCTTTTTTGGCACGTCTCTAATGACCAATAACTTCTAATATATATACATATATTTTTTTTTTACAACAAATAATATTAATTAGCCATAGCAATATATTTTTTTATTTTTTTATTTTTTTCTTATGAAAAATGTCAAATTTTAGTTTAAATACAAAATCAAGTTTTTATTATACTCATCCACTTCCTTTTACGTAATTTTATTTGTATTGAGATATTTTTTTCATCTATTCTCTATTGCAATCATACAAGACCTAGAAAAACATGTACATTACAAAGCTTGACATATTTCAACACATTCAAGATTTATAACTTGCAGTACTACTGCTTCAATGTTGTGCATTTGTTAACCATGGGTAGAATAGAAATTTGAATCATTTACAACTAAACAGCGATCCTCCCGGCGTGGTCTCCGATACGTAGTCATGTGTTGAATGCTTAGAATCTATGTAGTACGTGATATGGAAGAGAAAAGTTACGCTATTCTTGCAGGTCGTTCTAGTTCACCTCGTGCTAGTTTCATAGATCACAAGGTAGCTAAGGTAAGAAGACCTGCTCTGGAAGTGAGCTTTGACTTGATCAATACGGTTTGATTTCATAGAATCATTCTGGTTAAGTTATTGATGGGGGTCTTCTTCCTTGGGTCACAGATGAAATGATGAGTTATGAAATATATGAATGCATCACATTTGATCTAGAGTCGCAGCTGAAAGCCATTTTTAGTTCTTTTAAGGGACCTCGAAAAACGATTAATAACATCACGAGTTATTTGCGTGAATAACCTTACAGTAATGACGTCAAGGTCAATACACACTGCAAGAAAAGAATTCATCTGCAAGTAGAAACTGGAAGGGAAGTATTCTAAATTCCATTTTGACTTTGTGAAGGCCATCGTATTACTCGAGTGATCATATTAACTAGTGGCACAGCCTGCCTTTCCTATAAAGCGTACAGATAATGGCGAGACAAAGTCTAGTCAAAGAGAGAGAATCCCATATCATCGTCACTCTCCTCCTTCTCTTCCACCTTCTCTTCCTTCTTCTCCTCAGCAGCGGGTGCAGCGGCACCTCCCGAAGCGGCAGGGGCAGCTCCCGCAGAGAAACCGCCACCACCTCCACCAACAATAACCTAAATCATTCGAAACATAATAATCAAATTAATAATCCATTCGGTGGAAACTAGGCTCCGCGTATTCGATACCAAAAATAGCTACAAATTATAAAGGTCGAGCTATCGTCACGACACACAAACAAGAAGGACACGAAAGCGAAAACGTATACAAGCAATGCATAGACGCTACGTACGATCAAAGATATCTCGTAATGGAAATAAACTGCAATAAACACACTACTAACTCTCACCAGCCTGCATTGATAAAGAAGTAAACCAAACCCTAACAAAAAAGTGAGGCTTCTAACCAGATGTTTCACATCAAAACTCTTTACATGTAGTTTACCTGGGCAACACCCGATTCAGGAGTGATCAGGGAGAAGCTGGATGAGACAGCGCCCGATCCAGCAGTGGTCAAGGCCAAGTTGGTGAGCTTCCTCTGGAGCTCCCAAGTGGAGGCAGAGCTGGCCTCAAGGTCGGCCTCGCCGCCATGCTGCTTGGCACTCCATGTGTCGCCCGACTTCTTTACGATGAAGGTGAAGACGGCCATAGCTGCAACGCCGCTTCAACAGCTAACACGGACGATAGATAAAGCTTGAGCCGCAACTCAGAAGCGAACACACACAATAGCGAAAGGACCGGCCAAGTGCTAAACATTACATCTTAAAGTGGGAGGCCCAATCTAGGGTTTCGGGATTCAAGCATCAGATTCAGGAGAGACGATGGTAACAGGCAGTAGCCGGTGGCAGACGGCACTCTGGGGCAATTGGAAGAGTATTTTCAGAAGCATTTAATCCCACATTTTCTTTGTTCCCTTTTTTGGTTAAATGATACATAACTTTTTCATCTTTTGGGTCAAATGAAATATATGTAAACTTTTCATTATTTTTTTTATAAATGCATTCTAAAAGCATGCACCCAGAATAGTTTTATGTAACTTAATTCTAGTTCTTTTTATGCATGTACAAACATTATAATAAAAATTATATGTTTTTTCTACCTTTCAAAGCACTCTTCCACTCGAGGTTTTAATTTTGGTTTTATTTTAAATTATATATGGGTACACGTGATTTACATCTAAACAAATATTAATGTTAAGGTCACATTTTCATGAGATTTCAATGTATTGAGTTTTTTTAGAACATTATAGAATCATTTGCTGTAGTTTTTAATAAAATATAATTAAAAACTAATTCATTCATTGTGAAATATATTATTTTCAAGGTTATACCAATTTATTCTGTATTTAACTTTAATCATTGATGGAAAAAACTAAAAACAACAAATCTTAATATAAATAACTATTACACTTTGTTTTCTAAAATACATAATATAAATTTGTGATATAATTAGTAGCTATAGATTGTACATATAAATATCTTATATACATTTTAATTGCCAAAAGCTTAATTGTGTAATTAATAAAATTTATGCTAAAGAAATTTGGTGTTATATTCTCAAATATTCCAAAGAAATTAAAGGACATGAATTGATGGATTTGAAGATACAAACAATCACTAATAGATGTAATATCAATTATTAAAGCAGCAAGGATATTCAAATATATATATATATATATATATATATTTGTTTATTTGAACAAAAAGATATAAGTTTCTTAATATGAATTGCCTAATTCATGTCACTTAGCCTTATCCATTTTCTTATAATGAGGCTGTGTCTATTTTCCTCATATGGCACACAGGTGTGGAATTAATACTTAAAGAGGGAAAAACAGCCCTCATATTGATACACATTGTAAATTGTGTCTCTTCCAAAAGCCAAAAACCAATATCTACATATATTTGAATTGTCATCAAGCTCATAACATTTGGGATTGGGCCACTTCTATTCTTTATACATAAACATCAAATTCCTCAAAATAGAGTATGTAGAAATTCTTCACTTGGAATCAAGCTTTTTTTCCAAAAAAGCTACCACTATGTTTTAAAGGTTCTGCAAGATTTATTCTTCATACATAATATTGTATTTATAAACCATTTGGATTCAAAAATAAAAATTTATATTTGAAAAGAAACTATGAAGTAAATTCCACACTAAAAGCTTAACCTTGAAACGACTAATCAAATATGAGAAAATTTGTTAAGAACTTGTCACAAAAAAACTAACAAAACATTCCAAATATGAAACCATCTTTTTCACAAATATAATAAATTATAGATGGTAAAATATATCCCAGATTCTAAATTGGATATGGTAATTAAAGATAACTTTATATTATCCTAAGGTGGTATGATCTTGAACAAAATATAAATATGAAACCATCTTTTTTCACAAATATAATGAATTATAGATGGTAAAATACATCCTCGATTCTAAATTGGATATGGTAATTGAAAATAACTTTATAATATCCTAAGGTGGTATGATCTTGAACAAAATATAAGCGAATTAGCCATAATAGTTGCCAACTCTTCTTAGTATTCTTATCTTTATTAAATTGGATAAAAGAAGTTTAACAATTTGGAGTAATTTTTTTCATTCTATTAATGCATTGAGTGTACCTCATTTTTGTGTCAAAATATGTACATATATATATATATATATATATATATATTATCTATACTAATAATAAATGTTAAAATGATATCTAAAAATAAGTTTAAAATGATATGTATCACAATATTTATCACTTTACTACTTTAAACTATAGATTACAAATGTAGAAGATAGTTTAAGTAAAGTTTAATTTTTTCAATTAAAAATAATTATTCTTTAAAATGTAATTGCATTTTTTTTAAATATTAAATTAATATTACAAGATTATAAATTGTAGTGTATTGATAAATTTTAATATATGTATATATATATATATATATATATATATATACACACATACATGTTTGAAGTAATTAGTTTTATATTATTTTTAATATTTTAATATTTTTTAATGACATTAAGAAAGTACAATAGTTAATATTTAAGTATAATTAGGTACTTGAATTGAAGGACTTTTTAAATAATATTTAAGTTATAGAATTAATTTTATAATTGATTAAAAATATTCATTAATATCTTTGAATAGCTATTAAATATACAATGTAATATAATAATTGATGTTTACAATAGTAAGAATAAAGTCTACTATTATATAAATACAAAGTTATACACAATGTATTAAAGATTAATTCTATGCATTAATTATGCTGAAGATAATTATGTATTATTTCAAAAAACATGTTGTAGTTGTAATAACGTTTTGTTCAATACTTTGTATATGTGGATGTGCATGACATGTGAGGGTGTTCACATTGTGAAAAGAGGGTATCTACCATGAGGTTTTTTCTTTTGTAATACTTCTTGTTTATATCATGGAAAGTGGATTATATATATAATTTTTTTGTGAATAAATTAAAAATGTTATGGACTACATCAAAGGTTTGAAGAATTTATAGATTTTTTAATAAAAGGATTAAAAAAATAAAATCTTTAAAAATTGTAAGGAGTATATGTGAGATATTTATTTTAAATATAAATATTGAGTTCAATAATAAGTTTAATAAAAATAATATCATAATATTGTTTCTCAAATAATATTGTAATAAGATAAATACTCAAAGTATTTACAAAAGACAAATTTTACAACAATAAGTCTAAATATCATAATTTGAGATATGTTATAGATATCTTGACTTTATCCATTAAATCTCATACTTTCTATTTTATCTAATAAATACTATTATTTTTTTCTAAATTTTTTTAAAAAAATATTTCTTTTTGCAATTTAAGAAATAAATTTAAACCATCTTATAAAATCAAATAAAAAAAATATAAATTTTAAAATTATAAATAAATGATTTGATAGATTATAGATATCTAATAACATGTTTAAATTTATTGACCAATTATAATTTAAGTTTTATATTTCTTAAAATAGTGAGTTATCTTTTATCTCTTCTTCTTTTGCATAATTTTTTTATGAATGTGAAACCAATCTAACTATATACTTGAAGTTTTTGAATTCTATTATTTATAACCAATATAAATATTTAATGCATTTGCATCTACATCTTAGCAACATTAAATCTTAATAATAGAAGGTTTTAGGTTAGAAATTTTATAATACAACATTTAATTATTCATATGCAATAAACTAGAAAAAGAAGTCATGTATGTAGTTTTATAATAATATTAGATTAAAAAATTATAAAATAATATATCAATAATATTGCTTATCTACTGTTATTATTAATTACTATTTATAAATAGATGGCCAATTGTATTTTAATTAAAAGCTAATGTATTTTATGTAATTTTTTTTTAATTTTAGTTTTATTTTAGTCATGTTTAATTATTTACAAACATTATTGGTAATAGTATGGGAACATTGTTTTTGATAAAAAAAAATGGTCACTATTTAAAGAAACCATGTTTATTTTAAAAAATAAGAATACAGATGGAATACAATATATGAATCACCCTGTAAAATCTCAATTAACTTGTCCACCAAAAACTTAAACTATCTAAAAATAGTGAATTGGTAACCATAGGTTGGTAGTTCAAATTCCAACTATAAAATATCCAACTCTGCATAAAGAAAAAAACTTACCACAGAACTAATGACTACTTGATGTTTCAAAATCATATATATATATATATATATATATAAACTAGTCACAACACTTTACCACAACATATCACATAGTGTTAGATATCTTTGCCACTTTATCGACAATTAACTTAAATTTGATCCGTCTTCCACTTTCATTAGGCCTTAGCAGGTGTTGGCCGAATGGCCGTAGAGGGGCTTAGGGTTATGTCCTTGAACTTTGCATGAAGGAGATGTTTCGCAATGGTGCTTGGTGAAAACTTCATCACATAGTGTTGACAAGTGGAGGTTACGATTATCAGTGTTCTCTTCTTCTCAAGGCAAGATATAATCCAACGGAAATCTGCATTAAAGCATGTTAAGTTAAGTTGGATTCTGCTAACATTTTCCGCAAAAATAAGAATTCCAAGGAGACAAATGTGATTTATTGAGATTCTATATTTGTACTGGCTCTTAATTGCCCCAAACGACCAGAATGTCAACTCAATCATCAGGAATGACGAGATGAACCTTTCAAAATCCCAATGAGCCTTCACCACGTTAACAATCAACAATAAACAAACTCGTTTTAAGAATGTGTATTATAAGCATCAGTAAAGCATGTGTGTATATTTTCATTCCTTAATGTGTGTGTATACTAGCTTCAAGTAATTGTTCTTACATGTAAACAAGCAAACTGATACGACGACATATCGAAAATGCTGTAAAAAAAGTGCAAGGTACTTTTTTGCTACTCAAGATGAAGATCGAACTTCAAAGCTTGGGCGTATGCTTCAACCCGTCACATAGCATCCGTTTTACAATTTTGCAGGTAGTCTCCGCAAACCCAGCAAAGCACATTCCCAGAATGTTTTTCACCCCAACTAACAACATGCAGCCTGTAAGCACATAACTGCACGTTCATTCATGGCAACTGAGAGGCGGAGCAGGATTTCCCAGCTCATTTCAGCTACACTACACATATATTCTGCACAAGGAGGCACTGTTCAATTGAAACAAGTAGTTTGTTCTCACTGTCTGCACTTTGAGGCATACTTTGTTTCTGCTCAAATTATGCCTCAAAGTGCAAAAGCATACCACCAAATTGGAAGCGAACATTACACGACGCTTGGTAATGAACAATATTTACCACCGACCAGCCAGATACTCATCGCCACGGACAGCTATGACTCTACAGGTCTGAGCAGGTTGTGCTCTCATTAGCTACTTCACTAACAGAATCGCCCATCTGGCCTTTATTATTCTTGAATACAACTGTCTCTCCAGGGCCTCTTGCTTGCATGGCCTTACGCATGGCCTCACTGGGAATAATTCTTCTACGCCTGCCACAGCAATCGCATACATGTTATTCTGCAAATCTCACACACTCTACTTCTGACTATAAAAGCATGCACATGAAACTCTAGGTATCTTTAAATACTTTTCATAACTTTAGAAGTTTCCTTCCAAAAATCAGTTCCAAATGGTTGAAGATTCCATCATAGTTTAGAGCATAGATCCAGAAATGAAATTTTACCTCCTCAGAGTAGGCTGTTGTGGATCGGGCTGGAAATGAGGGCCTTCGTCCCAGCCTTCACAAATGAGGTCGCCATTCTCATCGTAATAACAGATAATACCTTGCGACTCATCCTTGAAAATCTGCAGATCCGTTCCGACTGAGAATTGTAAACCCAAAGCAACAGCCAGCCTAGTAACAACCCAGACATGAAAACTTCTAACTCTATTTCTAACAATGCGTGCGGACACAGTGGTGCAGCGACAAAATGATAATCTCAAGAGTACCTGGAACGTTCAGGCCTACAAGGTTACACCCACGGCGGTTTGACAGAACAATGTCATACAGAGTTTGCGAAGAAAAGCAGGCGGGGAAAAGATTGACACGAACCGTGGACTCCTCCTCGGGAAGTACGTCGGGAGATCCCTTCTCAGATGAAGCGTAGCAGATAGAAAGCCGCATCGACTTAGGTGCAACTTTCACGGTTGTCCGGCGTTGAAAAGGAGAAGCACTTAAAGGGAAGGACACAATCGCAGGTGAAGCACAGTGAGGCAGACATAGCTGCAACAACGTAGCCATACTGTGGACTCTTCAACACAGCGCCGATCACAAGATGAAGAAGGTCGAGCCTTTCACAGACGAGCAAAGCTTCGGAGCCCGAGAGTATGGGAGGGTCGCTAGCTGACCACCTGCGCAAGCTTGGACGACGCAAATGCGGTAAATCGATGGATCGCATCCAGTACTTCGAGGAGGGTCTGATGGAGCGGTGGAATTAAATTAGGTCTGCAGGCTAAACGCCCCCTTTTCACCGTTGGATGGGTCTCTTTTCCGATCCGCCCCACCACCCCCCACAAGTTGATTCCAGTGCGACGATCTAGTTACTTTCAATTAACGCCCTCAATTTTAGACTGGGAGAATCGAAGTGGGACGATGGTTGGGAGAAAGTAGTTCCTATTTTTAGAATAATTTCAACGAGAGGAAGCTGGTTGGACCTAGGTCAACCTCCTCCTTCAGTGCGGAATATTTTCGGTAATCCTTATTGTTTATCATATTTGCATTCTACGGAGCCACCGAGGTAACCTAAGTTCCATATATTCTCCTCATCAATTTTCCTATCATCTTTTCTCCACCCATTTCTCCGGTTGTACTCATCAACGTCGACGGTGATTTGTCCGTGTGGACAAGAGTGGGATAGCTCACGGTGAGTCAGCTTTTTTCGTCGATTCTTGCAAGTTCTTGTGATGTCGTCTGTTGGGGTCTGGTCGACTGTCCGAACTGTGGGTGGCTGCCAAGTGTATGCCTACAGTTGGGGTGCCATCTGCACTCGCAGCCTGCATAGAATAACGTGTCGATTTGTCACTACACAAGTGTGTTTTTTTGCCTATAAGCCAAAAGCTTCCGAGCGACAGCAGCGTTTTATTTCCTCCTGTAGGCCTTGAACTTTAAAACGGATCATTCAAAGCTGTTTTGTGAGAATGTTCCGTATTGCCATTGCACGGTGTTGGTCATGGCGGAGCTGCTGATTCGTGGTTGGACTCGCACTGAGTAGATGTAGGATCAAGGACTCTTCCGCAACAATGTTACTTGCGACCCGGCTTGCTCCACTGCCTGGTACTTTTCGGACTTTGATCGACTCTCTTTGCGTTATTTTTCAGTGGTTTTTATTTTGAAAATTTTGGTACCTCAAATGTTCTTTGGGTGTTGGAGTTGGATTGTGGCCTCGAATATGACATGGGTTCACGGTGCATGGGGTTGTGGCGTTGATTTGTAGAGCGAGAGATCTTAAGGAGACTGCGGAGGTGCCCTAGACTGGGGTTTGAGTGCTTCTTTTCCACTACTCAGGCGCAACATGCTAGGTTTGACGCCGCCGACAGGAATACCCAGCACAGGGGTACTGCACGTCCATCCTACTCATTCGTTGTTATCAATTGGGAGTAATTTTGTTGGCAATGGCAATTTCGGATAAAATTGTGGCAGTGCTGTACATGTAAACCTCCTCTCAAGTCAGTCGATTTCTCTTTGAGGTTACTGATTGAAATTAGCGCTGTTCAATCCGGCAATGCTTCGTTGCTAGAAGTCTCGTAAACGTGCGAACGGAAAGTGCCACACGAATAAATAAGATTCTATGAATTTTCTATGTTCAGATGTTTCTCGGACCCGGAATCGTTCAATCAACAATGCGTTTTCACAGTACTTGTGCTATGGGCCGCCATTCGATTAAATATGTCACTGATTTTTATTTGACAATCACTTGCTAAGACTGCTGGGCGATTGTGATTACGAAATGCTCTAGAATGGTTAGGTATAGAAATGGAGGAGAACCTAGCGAGCTGTAGCGATGTATCAACGAAGGATGAAGGAGTTCTTGAATATTATATTGCTCAGAAATTGCCATTTGTAAATTTTCCTCTCGATTGCATTATTTGGCACTTCAATTTCATGCTAACACTGATGCACTAGTGATTAATCTGTTATGGATATCAGAGGTGAAGAAAGCAGGGGCAGAGTCAGATTTGGATGACCGCAAGCATGGAGGACAGATGGCCTGGTTGACTAGTATGCTGGAGCCAGCAATGAAGCTCTATAGACGAGCATTGCCCGCAGGCATGCACGTCCGACTCTATCATTTATTGCTGCCGCCTTGTCCCCGTTTGCTCTCGTGAGTGGTCTTGCACTGTATGTTATGCAAGGCCTGGTTTTTGCCCTTATTCAGACATTGAATCTGCGTGAGTGTGAGCTTCGGTGGCAATCAGTTTAAGGCAAATATGCTGTAGTAATATCAACAAATCACTTGGTTGGGTTACGGAAGATATGTTTATGGTCTTAATTGCCATTTGAGAGTCTCACTCCTGGTGTATGTGAGCAAGTTTCTCAGTCTGTCGGTCTCAGCCTTCACATCTTACCTCTTATTTCTGGGTCAGACGAAATTTTGAAGCTTGTTGCGTCTGAGACGATATCTGAGTTCATGTGAAATTGCCTGTGTTTTTTTTCTCTTTACACCAGTAAATGCAGGAGTTTATTTTTTTTGCGTTAAGGTGATGAAATTATTGTGCGACAGTTTTCTTGGATGGTGTCCTCGGAGGGGGAGCGCTAGGAAAAGGACTAGTGAGAATGTAGTTGTAATTTCTGCAGAAGTTCTCTGCAGGTTCCGAGCAGTAATCCTCATTTTTATTTGTTAACCTTCTGTGATGACGAATCTATGTTTGATCTCTATTGGTTTCATTGTAAAAAAAATCAAGACCACCGATCTTTAAACTTATTCTAGAACTTGATGATATTTTTTCCAGATAAAGGCGACGAACCCACAAGTACAGCCTCGTTGGTGGATATTGCGTCCAGTATTTTGAGAAGCACTTCTGGCATGCAGATTCAGAAATGGAGCATTGCAGATCTCACGCTTGGTCTTTACTTCTTGTCCGTCCGCCACGCTTCTCAAATGGCCAGTGATACATTTAGTGGTGACTTAGTGTCATCAGATACATTTGTGAGCTTCTAAACAACTGCAGCTGATTCATCCTGATTCTCTGTAGAGTGTATGCTATACACTTCTTTTTGAGATCTTTTATTTAGTTTTTTTGCAGAAGAGATGTTGTGTTTTTTTGTAGAAGAGAAGCTGGGGCTCTTACAGAATATTTTAAGATATGGCAGATTGAATTCCTGAGAGAGTTGATTATTGAAAGCGCTTGGGTATTATCACCGGTATTTAGGAGGATTATATTTCTAGAACACTCCTGTCATGAAGTGGAAACCTGTAACAGTGTCTAGTTTTATTTCTTTGAGGTAAGGAGGATGACACAAACATTATATTGAATTGATTTCAGGTTGGAGATTTAATCTATTATGTTGAGCTGGCACGAGGTTCCTATCAAAAAGATGCGGCTGGACTGGCTCGTGTAAGCATGATCCAGGAGTCCAAGGTGGTCAAATTTGAGGACACGTCCAATGTTATGCGTCCTGGATACTACATTGCAGTAGACCATCGACATAAACTTGTGATATTGTGCATCCGCGGAACTCACACAGTGCACGACATAATTACGGATCTAGCTTCAAATAGCGGCGGCGCCTCTAATCTGGATGGGGAGAATGTGCATTATGGTAGTGTTGAGGCTGCACGTTGGTTTATGGAGCACGAATTGAGTACTCTAAAGAGTTGCCTGCACGAACATGAGGTATAATTTACTATTTCTGCAACAGATTATCCTTTTTCTGGAGACTACGCAACTGACAACTCTTTTGTTCGTCCTCCTCTGTGGGTTATTTTATGAAGTATTTAACGTTAACAATAAATATGAACAGGACGGTTGTTATGGTTGACTTACTTCGTGCAGGGCTACGAACTACGACTTGTGGGGCATTCTTTGGGAGGTTCAACAGCAGCGTTATTAGCTCTGATGCTGAGGAGACTAGGAGATGAACAACTTGGGTTTTCCTCTCAGTTAATTAAGGCTGTCACTATCGCTTCTCCTCCTTGTGTGTCTGAAAAGTTAGCATCAGAATGTGCAGACTATATCACTACATTGGTTTTACAGGTAATTTTTTGGCCTTTGACGGTTTTATATGCAAAGTATTGTAGAATGAATATTTTAACCTGGGATTACTCAAGTATGGAACTAGAGGTTACTGCGAGTTTTTTCTGTATCATGTTGTGCGCATGATGAATAACACTAATTTGTTTTTGTAAGTTTCCAGTTTTTCTGTACTTACATCCTATTTTCCATTCAGGATGACGTTATCCCTCGAATGAGCACAGCAGCATTGACTCGACTTCGTAATGAAATATTGGTCACAAACTGGTAGGTTAATTTTGTTTGATTGATTATTGGTTGTAACGTGTGCTGATTCTTACTCAGAATCAACCCTATTTAAGAATACCTAGATTAACATATTCTGCAGCCGTCCTATCTGTTCTTCCTCGTGTTTTCTATCCTCTTTTGAAGATACCTGGCATGTCATATTCGTCAGACTCAGGTATGGTCGGCAGAGGCTTACCATAGTAGAATTGCTATGACAGAGGTTGATCCTGCAGGACTCTGTTGAAGGATAGTGAAGAACATAAGGGTATTGCCGAATTTGTTGAGAGCACGATCAAGAAGCTGTCTTCTGTACAAGATGTGGCTCGCCGATATGCATCCTTTGTCAGTCTCGGCTCTTCAAGTGATTCAGGTAAATTATTTAGCTCTCTTTGTACCTCCGAGGGCTTCTCTTTGAAAGAGTTCATCTTGAATGAGTTTTTATACATAGCATGTCCAGATCTGATATCTACAGTAAGTAACAGGAAATGAAGTGATTCTATTTTATTTTTTTATTGTTACGTATCATGGCGACAAGTTTTTTTTCGCACGTGCAGAAATCGAAAAATTGGAGAAGAACGTTGAAGAAGTGGCTACGAAGTTACTTGAGAAGAAGGACAAACTGGACGATTTATCCCTTTCAAAAAGAGAGCCGAGATCAAGTGAACTTAGTCGAGAGAGTAAAATTAAAGATGAACATCCAGAGCTTTGGGTACCAGGCTTGCTTCTGCTCATTTATGGGGGCCGGACTCCCACTGATGTAGATCAAAAGGAGTTTGCAGGGAGAGAGGGCCATGTTCTGCTGAAAGGGCAAGACGGTACACAATTTGGCCGCATTGTGCTGTCCAGTACAATGTTATCGGATCATAAATGCATAAGTATTTATTACGCTCTTCGAGATGTTCTCAAGGGTCTTCCAAAAACCGGAGGTTCTAATAAACTGTCAATCTGATTAGTTGAGCTATTTCTTTTTGTTCCTGAAACTTTTCGGGAGCATCACAACAGTATTGTGGAAATGTGGGCCCCAGAACTACAGTTTTAAACATTCGTCTGTGTAGATGTTTTCATCGAGTGGGTTAGTGGTTGGTTTTTACACTTTAAGCACTGCAATCGAAAATTTCTAACAGTGCGATGTTTCAAAATTGATTTGATTTTGTGTCTTGATTACTCAAGACATGAAGTTTGTGTTACCATTCACATGCTTGAATCTGTCCATGTCTTACTGCTGTGCGAAACTTGTCACAGTATAACTTGCTGCGCGTATGATACACGCTGGAACCTTTTGTCTCTTATCCTCGTGGGGTCGGAAGGGTATCTAAGACTGTGCGCCAACCATGAGAAAGAATTTTCTAACTGATTGAACGCTTATCAGAGTAGTGGTTGCTATTTCGCATAACCATTCTTTATTCGGTTGTTCTGTAGTGATTTGGCAAGGGTTGAATTGACGGTGGAATGAAAATGTCACATTGAAAACAGGGATTGATAGAGTATTACCTCAAATCATGCTCTTATGCATCTACCTACCTCGTGCATCCTTTCTCTTTGCTGCCGTTCAATTTTTATACACGATGTGATAATTTGCTAATGAAAATTGCTAACGTTCAATACGAGGGATTGCATAGGCTGCAAGTGTAACTTTTGATGAGGTTTTGTGGCTACACATATAATAATCAAAACAAAAGAGTTGTTTTGTACACAACCAACATTCTTCAATATATACCTCTCTCTCTCTCTCTCTCGATATATATATATATATATATATATAGAAATTAAGGGAGTTGCTAATGTTATCACAACTTTTGCTATTGTCACAACAATTTGCCATCCACTACATGTCATCATAATTTTTGCTATTGTCATCACAATTTATTCTTATTATATATATACATATATATATATGTTGAAGAAAAAATATTAAAAAATGAGTAGATTTTTTTATTAGAATAAAAAACCTAAACAAATATGTTGAGTGGCTGGTAGCTTGTGGTGGCTCACAGATTGTAATGGCAATAGCAAAATTTATTATTCTGCTCTGGAGAATCCTTTAAATTTATTATTTTATAAACAGGTGTAAACTTCAACTAACTGTATTTATTGATACTGCACAAGTTTTTTTAAAAAATAAATAAAAATATATGTAGATAAATATTTCAAAATAACTTCTTGAGCTAAGGAGGAAAGAAGCACTATATTCCCAAACAAATGAACACATATACATACATAATGTGAACGAATGACCAAATGTGGTGGAAAAGACTCAGCCGAGCTTACAGAGCACGAGACATCCACGTCAACGCTCAAGGCCTCAATACCTACCAACCAACCAACAAACAAACGAGCGGTAAAAGGAATCACAAATCTCAATCAACAGCAATAGAGACAGACACCAGGAGAGCGAGAGAGAGAGAGAATAGGACGGGGAAGAACCTGGATCCGAGCCCAGCCCAGCCCGGTCACGCATATCCCAGTCCACATGGACCTCCAGCTGGAACCCCACCTACAGAGCAGGCCCACTCACCAAATCTCTTTCACCACCACCACCACCACCACAATGAGCAGCACCCACTAGTGATCGTAATGCTATTCTATGCTATGCTATGCTTACCCAACCCAACCCAACCACTATTACAACTGCTATTACGACGAGTGTCTGTCTGGCTGGTCTGGGCTGGGCTTTGGCCTGGTCGCAATTCGGGACCCTCCTCTTTCACTCCGACTCGCTGGCCCCGTCATGCCGGGCATGTGACCCCCTCCCCTTCCCTTCCTTCCCTTTCCCTGTCCTCCGCCGCGGGCGGGCAGGCAGGCAGTCCGCACCCACCCGGCACGCCCCTCCCTCCCTTCCCTCCCTCTTGTCCCTTGCATTGGCTGCCTACCCCGGGTGGAGGTCACGCTTGATTTACCCGCCCGGTTCTCTGTGCTCGCGTCGTTTCTTAACAGGGCCCAGCTGCATCTGCTGCTATTGCAGTGGCGCATGCGGATGCGGATGCGGATGAGGAATGGCGCCGCGATGGGGTGGAGGAGCGGACGGGAAGATCCTTCGCATGGGAGGGAGAGGGAGAGAGGGAGCAAGCAATCGTAGTATCAGGCCGTGTTCTTTGCTAAGTTGCCCTTCTTCCCTTGGGGTGGACGATGCCGCTGGTGGTGGTGGTGGTGGTTGCCGAGGTAATTGGTGATGTGGATTCTGTGTTGGAGGGTGGCGTGGGTTTGGCGTTGAGGTTGTGGGCATGAGTGCTGCAATTTGGCGAACAGGGCAGGGTTGGGGACGCGATCAGGTGATGAGAGGAGGTGGGGACCGTGTCGGATGTGTTGGGGTTTTGGATTAGATGCTGTGGATTAGAAGCAGCAACCAGCGCAGGTGGAGCTTGAAGTTGTACCCCCCCCCCTTTTTTTTTCTTTTGTTATTATTATAATAATAATTATTTTTTGGACAGAATGAGGTTTCGCGAGTTTGGGCGGGGTGTGTGAGTGGGGTTTGTGGGGAGGTGTACTAGGTAGGTAGGCCACGGCTAGATGAATATGGACATGGAGGCGCCCGAGAAGAAGCGGTCGCCCCAAGCATGGAAGCTTAGGTTGCCATGGGAACAGCAAAAACAGGCAGAGATACAGAGAAGTGCTTTCATTCAAAGTCAGGAGAAGGCAAGAGCTAGTACTTCCTCAATGTCCAACATAGCTCGAGCATTTATGATTAGCCGAAGACGGCTTCGGCTGGACCCTGATAAGAAGTTACACTTTTTATGTAAGTCTCGTCGGCGGTGCTTTCTGACGATGCCTGTTTTCAATCTCATCAAAATTGACCTTTATTCCGATGGATTTGGACTGTGGCTTGCCGTGAAGGTTTCGTCCCGCCCTTTTCCTTTGGTTCGTGTCTAGGTCCAAATGGAAGGCTATTTCAGGGTAGCGAAAATTTACCACGCTAATGGATAATAATGTTAGCGGGATTGGGGGTGAAGAGCAGAATATCAACAGGATCAATTGTTCGCACAAAACTAGGTTCTCCCAGTGAATGACATATCTTGGCATTTATAACTCTATTAAGGATGCTGCTTGTTGTAATACGATTTATGGTGAGATTTCGTTGTCGAATGCGACTTATATCTAAGGCAGTGAACTGGTGGTGCGAGGGTCCCTGTTCTCGAGGGCCCTATACTCAGATTTTCTACTGCAATGATGCCCAACATTTTGTATCTGTTTGTATGTTGGATTGCTAGCCATTGGCATAGATAGGATGTCCTTTAGATTATCGATTCGGGCCTCAGTTCTGAATTGGACTTGTCTGGTCTGTGCCAGAGAAAGATGCGCTTACATCTTTCAACTTTTTTATTTTTACTTATTTTTTTGATTTTTACATCCTTTACAGACGAACCAGGCAAACAGGTTTCAAGTGCAATCAAGATTAAGAATGTTAGTCGGTCGCATGTTGCCTTCAAGGTGAGCAGATTGTCCCTCATTCTTTTGTAGAACTTGCATTGTCGGATTGAGTGGGTCCACTTTTTTTTGTTCCGCGGTGATGGGTTGGTCTCATGGGATGTGCTTTTGTCTCTTTCAACCTAGAGCTCGTATGTGAAAGCGATGTCTTGTGAGTGTTCTCTGAACCAGCATTGGTAGTGAAGAGCTTTTGGTGTACCTGCCGCAATTGATTTCATTGGGAATGCCGAAAGTTCCGGATAATGCACCAATTTCTGATTGAGAAGAGAAGTGGTGTGTCTTTGGTAAAATGTGTCGCAGTTTCAAACCACAGCTCCGAAGAGTTGCTTCATGCGTCCACCTAGTGGCGTGCTCGCACCAAATGCGACCATTCTTGCAACAGGTAGAGTGACATTACTGGATGATGACTAGTTCCGTGATGTCGTGATTTAGAAATGGGGGGTGCAGAGGTATTGTGGAATTTAAGTGTTATGATATGCTGACGCGGACAAATTGATACTGCAGTGGTGAAATTTCTGGAAACGCCTGAGCGTCCACAAGAAAAAAAGACCAAGGACAAGTTCAAAATAGTCAGCTTGTCAGTGCAAGCGGGAGTTGACTACACTCCAGAATTGGTGAGGATTTGAAATTTTGAAATCGCCCGAGTGAGTGGATCGATTTTTTATTTATTTTGCGTACGCTGCATACTTAAAGTTATTGAGATTGAGTTGGAAAGTGCTATATACTACTCTGCTTTAGCATAAGTGCTGCGAGAGGCCTTTAGAACTTGCTAGCCAACACACAACTGACTAGTACTCTGCTGTAATTCCGGTTGCAGTTTGAGGATCAAAAGGAATTGGTCACGGTGGAGCGCATCCTTCAAGTGGTCTTTATTGATCCACACAAATCCTCTCCAGTGAGTTTTCTTCAGCTGAGATCTTCTGCAAGTTGATGTATTCGGCTAATTTTTTTAATTTCTAATTTCTAATATTTTAAAGTTCGGGCAAACGTAGAGTAAGATCTAGTCTGTTTAGGGTTGGAAGAATGATTTGATGATTGTGATCTTGCAACTTGAAGTTGTATGGTCTTTGTAGTCAGAGGCATTTTCTCGGTAACGTTTAACGTTAAGTGATACATTAATGAAAAAGACGAGTTGAATCATGGATGATGTGTTGGAATTATACAAGCTTTTATCCCAACATTTTGCAGCGAGCATTTGCTTCTTTAATCATGCTTGTTGGCAATATTATCAAGGTTGTAGAACATTTTACCTAATTAGATTATTTGGATTAATTTGTGAGTAGGAATTGGATAAGTTGCAGAGGCGCCTCGCCGAAGCTGAAGCAGCTGAAGCAGTTCGCAAGAAGCCTGCAGCAGACTTGAACCCTAAAGGCACCATGGTTGTGGAGGGGCTTGTGATCGATGAATGGGTAAGTCAAGTGAGGATGTTCTTGCTATTGGATGTCATTGGTTACGCACCTTGACATCTTTGCTTCAGGCCTGTTTTGATAAGAATGTATAATCCAGTTGATTTTGGCGATTTTCTTCCAGAATTATGCGAGCATGCGACAAATAGATGTGCTCGGAACATGGAATACGCTGTTTTCTTTTTTTCTTTTCTTTTTCTTTTCCATATTTGCTTCTGGATTTTTTTACTTGTGTACGTAAACGTGATTGATGTTGGATATTAGGCTCATAAGTTGGTTAATACATAATGCCAGGCGTCCTAGAGCTTTATCCTCAGCGTTCCATTCTGAGAATTACTAATTGGTTTGTCGATTTGCAGAAACAGCGCAGGGAAAATTACCTTGCTCGGCAACAAGGCGAAGGTGGAGAATCTTTATGAGAATAGGTTTTGAAAAGTGGGTTTAGATGTGTGCTGTCTGTAGAGCAAGTAAGTTGGTACTTGCCTTCCTGACCTGGGTTTCTCAGACTACCATATTGGCAGAGTTGGCACGCAGGTGTTATGTTCGGAAAGAACCAGCTCGCCCTTAAATACTACAGTATTGTCCAGATTCTCGTTTCATGCCGGTGCTGACACCAGTGCTCTAAAGTAGCTATCCTTTAAGCTGTAAAGCTTCAAGAGTTCCGGGCTAAACTTAGATTCTCCTAAAGATGCGAATTCCAAGACGAAGATCGCTTCAAAACAGAGGATATGAGATTTGTTGACGTGAAACTATCCGCACAATCTAGCTTGAAAAATATGTTACTGACAATATGAACCAGAGCTTTGCCAATTCAGTTTAGAAGCATTCTATTTGTATGCATAGTTGGATATTTGGTTAGTGCTCTTCAAACTTTCAGAAATCAATAATAACCAGCAGGGTTGTTCTAGCCCTTTTCGGCAGATGGTCTCTGTTCTCTTCTGTTGCATGCTACCAAATTGATTCAAGTTGTCTCACATATGCATAAGCGTTGGTCGTTGACAGGGATTTACAACTGTCTCTTTGAATCATAGACAACTGCAATTCACTTCATCGGTCATAAACCAAGATACTACATATTTGTATGCACAAGCTGGATGCTCGCACCATGAGCTTTTCTGCATGGTTCTGGTTGGAATTTCTTGCCTCACATTTTTATGTACGCATGGTGTAATATAATTGGATGTTTCTCTTGTTTGCATTTGCTCAATCCTCAATAGCTGTGGTGGTTGCATGTTGACATTGTGACGATATAATTATATTCTACCATGTGTGTTTGTTTAGGATAACAAAGGATATGCAGTGGCTTTATTCTTTGTTATGATCGGTCAGAAGTTGATAGTTGTTTTACTTGAGTTTTAGATTAAAGCCAAAAGTCCGCATGGTTTGGAGTCTACCTCTAAACATGACACAACTAGGTTTTACTGATTTTTATCTTTTGCTCAGTTTTGAACGACTGGCTTTCTTTGTTACATCTCGATCAGACACAAAAAAAAGAGCATCTGCAAAGACCTATTCAGCTTACTATGTGAGTTGTCCCCAAAGTAGGCTGACAAAACACTCTTGCGACATGGTCGGTGCTGCTTTTGGGTGCCTGGATTTGGACTGAAGATTGATGAACATCAGAAGTAATATCGGCTCTTGTGATGCGACTTCTGATGTAGATATTATCAAAGTACAATTCAGTGAGAATATCAGAAAGTTTGAGGTATCGCATATAGTTCCATTGCTTTTGATTAAGCGTAGAGTGGAGATCCACATGTTATTCCCAATCTTTGATGGTCACTAGAATTACAGTGATCTTCACCACTTTATAATTCTGCTCCAGGTTCCAGTTACGAACATCTATCAATCGAATACGGCATGAACCTGATTCTAGACCCTTTTCTTTTCATTTTCGTTCTTCTGGATATAAGTATGTGTATGGCCTATCAAGGCTTTGTTCAATGTGATTTCTCAATTTTAATCTTGTATGTTTAAAGATTCCATTTTGTACTCAACAAATTTACTGCATATTTTTACAATATTTTGTATGTCATATTTAAAAGCATAGAAAGCTAATATCGAAGGTTTGTATGTTTATTTTGTAAATATTTTCTTCGTGAAAAGAAACTACACTCAACCAGTAAAAAATAATATCATTTACTTTTGATATAACTTGATGAAACCCTTCTTTTTATTTTGTTAAAGTAAAATAATAATATATACATTGTACAAATAAATAATATTTATACTCAATTCCACATATTGATTTTATAATTAATTTGGATAACTTAATCCCAAATATATCTCATATCAGATATAGAAAAACAATCTAACTATATTTTATTCTTAGAAGAATAAACATTGTGAATATACAAATTTTAATGTGTTGTCCTCACTATTAAACAAAAAATTAAATGTCAACAATAATGGAAGTGCCATACAAGGCAATTTGGGCCCAAATGATTATTAGATTAAGTTAGACCAAATCCAATTTACAAGAATGAAATTTAAAACAAACTCGTTTTTATTCATTATGTATTTTACAAACATCAAGGCTTTAGAAGAATTGATGCGCTGGATCAAAAAACATAATGCACCAACTAAGCATGTTCCAATTATAAAATGACAAATAAAAATAACATATAACACACCGTACTACTCACACTTCACATTGTGAGGCAGAAAAAAAACTAAAACAAGAAGGCTCCAAACCTCGTCAAATCAAAAGAAAACAACAGAAAAACCCCAAACATTACTAGATTGATTAAACCAACGAGTTGGATCTCACACATACAGAACAAATCAGAGGTTGGACACAGAGTCTGACGGCATGAAAATCAACCTGGAAAAAACCCTAATCAGAAATGGGAATTTCCTATATGTGTAGTTTCAAAAGTATCTTACACTTCATTTTATGTAAGTAACAAAAGGTGATGCATGAAGTGCAAAAACAAGCCACAAATGACACATGGGTTTCGTGAACATCAGTTTGAAAGCCAACACACAATGTAAGATCCAAATGCTTGTGAAAGTTGTTTTTTGGGAGGCAGAGCATGTTTCTAGATGCATGCAGGTGTTTAGCCTCATTGCCAGGAGCTGTGTACCCATTTCGTCATCACTCTCGTCTCCTCTGCTGCTGTGCAAGCTCCTTTGCTTGCAAGCAACGCCGTTTTTTACATGCCTTTGAGTGCAGTTTGGATGATTGTTTGTGGGGGGATGCAGACGAAGGAGCAGTGAGGACACTGGCATTGAGTTTTGAGCATTTGGGTTTTGATAGTTTTTAGGTTTATTTCGTGAGGAGAAGGATCGTTGACAGTGGTGTCGGAAAGGCGGGTTTGACACTGGTTTGGTGAAGATGCCGCGCGAGATTATTACTCTACAGGTGGGACAATGCGGGAACCAGATAGGAATGGAGTTCTGGAAGCAGTTGTGCTTAGAGCACGGCATCAGCAAAGACGGCATTCTTGAGGACTTTGCCACTCAGGTGCGTGGGGTGCAATTTTTTTCTCCGATTTCGCGGTTTTGTGCGTGTGGGTGTTTGTTTTGTTTGCATTTTTGGTTTTGCTTTTGGATTAGGGTGATGTGATCCGTTGCTACGATGGTATAATGCAGGGGGGCGATCGCAAAGATGTGTTCTTCTACCAGGCTGACGATGAACACTACATTCCGAGGGCGTTGCTTATTGACTTGGAGCCTCGGGTCATTAATAGTATTCAGAACAGTGAGTATCGAAATCTTTACAATCACGAGAATGTGTTTGTCGCGGATCATGGTGGAGGAGCTGGAAATAACTGGGCGAGTGGGTATCATCAGGTTAGTGGCGAATCTCAATTCCTAAACCCAATGTCTTCGTAACAGAAAAAAGAAAGAAAGAATAGAAGCAGCTTCTCTACTCGACTATTGCATTGCGGAGTGCACACAAAATGGTGTGTGTGTATATATATATATATATATATATTTACATAGCGGGAGAGGGAGAGCGAGCACAAAGTGGTGTGTAAGAATTGAAAGAGACCAAAATCACTCTCGGATTTCCTCTTCGCACCCTGCTTGCTTGTGTGTAGAGAGTCTTCTGTCCGAAGAAAGCACCTTTTAGATATATGCCTTAACGATATGTCATTTGTGGATTATTCTACTGGACTACTGTGATGAAACTTCCATTTCAAATTTTAAGGTGGAATGCTGGGCGTGAAGCTTTTGTTTCTTTGTACTCTTTTTTTATATTTTTTCGCAGGGAGAGCAAGTGGAGGAAGATATCATGGACATGATAGACAGGGAGGCCGATGGAAGTGACAGCCTCGAGGGCTTTGTTCTTTGCCATTCTATTGCTGGAGGAACGGGTTCAGGTTATGTTCTTTCTCTATAGTTTTTCAACTTTGAGGAGGGGATGCTTGCAGCATATGTATCTAATCTTTGCAACATATTACCATGCACTTATTAGAGTAATTTTATTTTGTAGGGATGGGTTCTTACCTCCTTGAAGCGCTTAACGACCGATATAGCAAGAAGCTGGTTCAAACTTACAGTGTCTTTCCAAATCAAATGGAAACCAGTGATGTGGTTGTCCAACCCTACAATTCTTTGCTTACTTTGAAACGTTTGACGTTGAACGCGGATTGTGTTGTGGTTCTAGACAACACAGCCTTGAACCGTATTGCTGTGGACCGGCTTCACATCCCTAACCCGACGTTTGCTCAGACTAATTCGCTTGTGTCTACCGTTATGTCAGCTAGCACCACAACACTTCGTTACCCAGGTTACATGAACAACGATTTAGTTGGATTAGTGGCTTCCTTAATACCTACTCCACGCTGTCATTTCCTTATGACAGGGTACACGCCACTTACTGTAGAGCGCCAGGTAACCTTTTTTTTCTTCCAAGTTCTCTGGCTTGTTCTCTTCATATGACTTGCTGCGGCTCTATTTGGAAAATTGAAGTTCTGGATAATGATTGTTACAGGCTAATGCTATCCGGAAAACAACTGTTCTAGATGTTATGCGACGACTTCTTCAGGCAAGTTGGTTTGGTTCATTCTCAGGTTATGTTAAGAATAATTGCAGCTCGTCTAAGATGTTTCGTGCTACTTACTATTCTCGTGGATGGCACCATCTTGTTTGTATTGTTTCAGTTTTCTATAGTTTCATAATCTTTGTGTTGTTGAGAAATTTCTCACTCAAGGTTGTTATATCAGGCTAAAAATATTATGGTTTCGTCGTACGCAAGAACAAAGGAAGCGAGCCAGGCGAAATACATATCCATACTCAACATCATTCAGGGCGAAGTTGACCCCACTCAGGTATTCTAAATGACACACGACTGATTTCTATTATGTGGGTCTCATTTGACTGATTAGGAAGAAACGATCAAGGTTTTAGAAATCAGACGTTTGCGACTATGTGGTTTCTGGTACCATTTCGAAGGATGTACTGCAGTTGTGTGTGTATTTTTTAGATTGGACAACTTCAGTTTGCGGTATGAAAGTTGTAGAAACACTCACTGATCTACAATCCTCTTTGCGCGGTTGGGAATAGGTTCACAAAAGTCTACAAAGAATACGAGAAAGAAAGCTAGCTAACTTCATTGAATGGGGACCTGCAAGCATTCAGGTGTGGAAACTTAAAGTTTCTTCCATGTGTTTTATGTATCAACCTCATTGCAATTCTTTGTTGAAAAAACTATGCAGCTCTTTTGAAGTAAATATTTGGGAAGGGGGTGGGTTGGTGGCTTCATTATGTCTAGGATTGGAAGTTTCATTGTCTATGCATATAAGCAGGCTATCACAGGAACTTCCTTGGTCCTTCTATTGGAGTTAAGTTCTTTATGATTCTTTGCAGGTGGCCTTATCACGGAAGTCACCATATGTTCAAACTGCACACAGGGTGAGTAGAATATTTTTACTGACGACATTGTGGTGGAAAGATGTCTATCTATATGCATACCTTCTCATACGTCGATGCTGGTCCGACCATGTGTTTTTGGTCTATTCAACCATGTTTAAATAACCATGCTGATTTTCATTCATGTGGGAATTTCAGGTTAGTGGTCTCATGTTGGCGAGTCATACCAGTATCCGCCACCTTTTTAGCAAATGTATCAGCCAGTATGAAAAGCTGAGAAAGAAACAAGCTTTTTTGGATAACTATCGCAAGTTTCCCATGTTTGCTGTAAGTTTTTCGTTTGAGTTTATATTATCCACAATGATCTCTAGCGCTTTACTCATGTTGTGACTTCAGGATATCTTAGGTTAGTATCTGATGGTCTGTCTTATTCTATTGCCTGGCTTTTGCAACCAATCATTTTGAAAGTTCCTGTTGAAGGAAAGTCATGAGATTACTTTCTGCTCGTAATTGCGATCTTTTATTGTAGGATAATGACCTGTCGGAGTTTGATGAGTCGAGAGAAATTGTTCAAAACCTTGTGGATGAGTACAAAGCATGCGAATCTGCTGATTACATCAAGTGGGGCATGGAGGTGAGCAAACATTCTAATCTCATCCTTTCGATTTAAAAATATCATGAACTTTGTACGGAAGAATTGTTCTCATTTACTGTTTATGGGCAGGATCGAGGTAAGCAGCTATCTGGTGAAGGGAATACGAGTGGGACCGTGGATTCAAGAGTAGGTCCTCCATAAAAGCCTCATATTATTGTCTCATTTTTGTAGCATATTAAGCCGATGAATAGAAGAAAAAAGTAAATTAGGAGGTACCAAACTCTGTAAATGCTCCTGGGTTTGAATACACTTTACGTCTCACATATTCAAGGCAACGTTGCGCTCTAAATTTCATTGGAAGCACAATTTGAATTTCACGCAGCTAGTCTCAGCAGGGATACTTGAGAATACCGTTGCATGATTCTGAAGTCAAACAAAATATCAATTGTCTTCAAGGCCATCACCATTCCCTAAGGCTATCACGGTTTGGTGTGGTTTCTTTTTATTAACGTTGCTTAATGATAATGATAAATATGACAGTATTCACCAACCAGCAACAATTTCAAATTCTTGACATTCTAAAGGCAGATGGGAAGGCCAACACGTGAAATTCACCCCCTCCTCATCGTTGAAGTTGACAGACTGATACACAACGCCTGCCTCGAAAGCTCATTTTAGAATTGATAATATATCAGTTATGGAATATGAGTTGGTCACCGGCATCTTTTCATCCCCGACCCACCTCTAATCCAGCAGACAAACTGAATAAAATTTGGTATTTTTAGGGGAACAAGCGGGAGTTTCATCTTTGTCACCCTCTTTATGTTCCACACTCTGCTCCGTAAATCTCAACTGCCGTAAAACTGGGACGCTTCATGAATATGGTCACTGAAAACCGCAACAATTTCCTGTCTGTAAAGTATGTACATTATCATGTAATCTCTGTAACCTTCAGCAGTGCCAACTCTGAAGATTTTGCAATGCACAGAGTAGAACCCTCATATTGAAAATGCCACACTTATTATCATCTATTTTTGTGGACTCCATTACATCATCAGAGCCGAATCCATGAGCTCTTCTAGTCTGTGAATACACATAGTTAGTCCTTCAACACTCTTCAAGAACCTCAGTAGATCCAAGATGAAGCTCCTCAAAGCAAATATGGCGCCCACATCAGCACACATCAGCAACATCAAAGCCTAGGTATCAACTAAGTTCCCTTTGTTTTTGTATAATAAATTGAATCCTAATCCAAGAGTTTCATTTAATATTTAATATTTTATTTCTTTTATTTCTTATATTTTATTATGCTTACAAAATTTGAATCTATATTAAAATTTTAAAAATCAAATATTAAAAATTTGATGAAATTTAAAAAGACCATGTATTAATTGTTTATTTTATTAAAAGTTTTTTTTTTTTTTTTTTTTTTTTTTTGAATTTGGATTTGAATTTGAAAACTATGTAAATAATTGAGGCTTGATTTGAATATGTTTCTTATTTATGTTTAAGAAATATATCATATTTAAAATTCAAATTATCACATTAAATTTTCAAGATGTTTGTTCAAGTTTAAAAATTCCTTTTCATCAATCTTATACATATTTTTAGCTATTATTCATACCAAAACAACCATGGTCTTCTATTTCTATGAATTTCATCATGGATCTTCAAATTTCAAGCTTATATAACTCTATATTTGTGAAAGTAGATCATTTCATCAAGATGACATATTTTGTACTAAGTAAAAAAATTATCACAAGTAAAGAAACAACTAAATTTTTTCTTGACAATGTTTATTGCTATCATGGATTGCCAAAAGATATTATACTGGATAAAAAAACTCAATTTGTATCAAGGTTTTGAAACACACTTTTAAAGATATTTGAGATGTACCATCAACTACCATTAAGATGATTGGATAATTTTTTTTTGTCATTAACAAAGTTTTTTTTATAACAACATAATACATTTTTTTATTCAATAAACCTTTTTTTTGTGCTAATTGTGGTTATCATCCATGACTTGATATTTTTGACTTCTCAAAAGTTAATAATCCTAAAACAAAAGATTTGACATATTGTTTACCAAAGCTTTATGCAACAATGAAGTCACAATTAAATGAAGTTCAAGAATAACAAAAAATCAACCTAGATGTCTATTGCAAAGAATAACATCAATTCTATATTTGTAATTAGATATAGTTACTTTGTTATAATATCAAGACTGGTCATTTTGTGACAAGTTGAATTATCATAGACTTAGACTATTTCATGTTTGTAAAGAGATTAATGTAATTGCATATTGATTACATCTATTAGAGTCTATGAAGATCTATCCTATATTTTACGTGTTTTTTCTTAAGCCATATAAGACATTGGATATATTAGAAAGAAGACAAATGGTACTTCTTCCTGTAGAAGTGAATAATAATCAAGAGTTTGAGGTAGAATAAGTCTCGGATTCATGGCAATACCAAAATAGGTTTAAATATCTTATACATTGGTGTAGATATGATATTAGTGAATGTACATGGGAGCCAATAAAAAATCTTACAAATTCAATAAGAGAGGTTGATATTTTTCACCAACAACATCTATCAAAATTAAAATAAAGGATTAAGATGTAATCATTGCTCCTCATAGAACTCATCTCTAAAAAAAGAGGTAATTTCATATATATAATTACCTAAATAAAAAAATATTAGATATATTTGATAATATCTTATAGAAAATCTTCTTAAAAGTCTTATAGACACAAACTTGATTTTATATATATATTTGTAGTTAATTAATATGTTGATAAGTTGGCCAATAAGTTGACTATATATTGTACATATTAATAATTTGTAGTATAAGTTGATCATATGGTGCACAAGTAGGAAACTTGACTTGCAAGTTAAGCACATGTTTTGTAAGTTGGACACTTATTAGAGGTTCTATAGAACATTGTTGCATAGCTCTTAGTTAGATAGTATATATAGAGATAAGAGTAAGGCCCTCTTTAGTCTTTTCAATGTCTTTCTTATCTTTAGTTTTATTTCAAGAAGTCTATAATTTTTTTGTCTTTGGCAATATCTATTTAAGTATAATATTATATTATTTTTGAATGATTACTTATTCTTTCTTGTGACACAAGAGTGTATTGATCTTTTGATTCTTTATGATTTATGTCCTTGATAATAGGTTATTTTTTTATATAAAACAATATATCAAAAAAAGTTGTTATTGAAATTTGTTCATTAAAATATTAAGTTATTTTCAACCATAAAAATATGATGTTTTATTTATTTTTATATTTATTTTATACCATAGAATAATTTAATCTCTTTTAAAATATTTATACTATATATTTTTTCAAAATATCTATATTATAATACTTTATAAGATTATGAATATAAGATATATTTATCATATATATATTTTTATAAATTATAGTATTGGTTTTTAATATTTTTATTAGTATGTTAAATTAATATAATATTTTACTTCTAAAATTTTAAAATATTGTATAATTAAACATCTAATATAAATTTATATAATCTTATGGTAGTAAACTCTATATAAATTTTTACATCTCTTAGATGTATTTTCTTAAAATTTGATTTTTTTATATTTGTAATCTCATAATTACTTTTTTAACCATAAAATTAGAAAATTTCTTATATAAAAAAACTCAAGGGGATAAACAATTGAGATAAAATGGTGTTTTGATTTATTGCATGCATGCATCTTTGTTTTCATTAAAAATGAACTGCTAGAATTTATGGGGCCTTAACAAAATGTAAAATTTTAGATGGACAATATCTTGAACAATGTATATACTACATACATGTATCTTTGTTTTTATCAAAAATATTGAACAATGTGTTCAATTTCTTTGTTTTAATGTTTAAATATGAGCAAATTCTGGAGTATATTATGATAACTATGGCGGACATCAATAAGGTACAAATATCCTTCAATCATTGATTCTATACTTCAAATTAATAGATTTGTATTTTTTACTTTCCTAAGAATTGATGCGTTTCAATTATATGTAGATGGTATGTTTTGATTGGTATGGCAGATTTGTATTTTGGATATGTTTTGTAGCTTAACAAACTATATTTTAATACATCTAAACATTTGTAGCAACTTGTATTCAATCATGTAACAATGGCATTGTGGCAAGGTGGAGTGGAATCCAACAACAAGGTTCAGCAACCATCTGTAGAAGAATTTAGTGACAAAACCTCACACAATGTATACACATCTATTCTTGCTTGATCTACATTTCCTAAACAATGTTGTTAGACATAGTACATTGACAGCACTACAACAAGCATTAAGACCTTAGAAAATCTTTCAATAAAAAAACAAGGGGTTTAATATGACTCCTACTAAAAATTGTCATGTATTGTTTATTAAAGGAATAATCATAACTTATTGCCATTCTGGTGTGCTGATTTTATTTCCATCTAGTATAAAGCGGGCAAATAAAAGAGGGCATAGAGTATCTATCTAGTGATGTGACTAAAGAAAAATACAATATTAAAATCAATACTGTTAAAATTATAATTGGAAGTTTCAAGTTTCATATGTTTGATTGTGTAGCCACACAAATCTTTCACAAGCTTTATCATGCAACTACAAGCATTATATTCTTATACAATATGAGGAAATAAGAGAAAAATAAAACACCTAAATATTTTCTCAATATATGAAGCTAAGCGCCGTGCTTTAAAAATCTTCAAAAGTTGTTATCGAGTTTTGGAGATTGTGAACATTTTTTTGTAAGAGGTTTTCATTGTCATGAATCATGAATGATTCTCATCAAATATTTCTATGGAATGTATATGCACAGATATACTAGTAATCAAAAAATGCTATAAATTTAAAACATTTGAGTTTACTAAAAACACTAATAAACTATATAAGACATAATATTTTTTAGTTCTTAGTTTGATTATATTGACATAGGATTTTTAACCAAGTTATCAATGGTTTTGGAATTTGGAGTTTATTTTAATATCATGTGTATTCTTGCAATTGCCATGCAAGTGGATTACTTGCAAAATTTCATGTTTTATTTTTTATTTTTTATTTTTTATTGTGGTTAGAGACCATGGTAAATAACATAGTATTGTTTGATCAAGGCACATATGACAAACTATTGTTGTAGATTCTAAAGTTTAAGTTAGTTACCTCTTTTATATTGTATAATTATCTATAAATAAGTATTTGATGGATTAATACAAATATATGTTGTGTGATAGAGTAGGTTTTTGTGGGCATTGTGCAAATGAGTCAAGGTAACAATTGTTATTTTTGAATTAAGTGAGGTGGATTTTGGAGGGCAAAAAGGTGGAAACTAAGACATAG